TTTCCAGGTGGCACCATCACTGTAACTTTGAATGCATTGGAAGGCCCGAAGCCCCCTTCATGCATCTGCGCCTGTATCGCGCGAGGTGCGACACATGCATTATGCGGATGTGAATCAGACATTGCCCCTGCCTGTTTCAGAGCACGCAGTCTCTCAGAACTTCCAAGAAACAAGCGACCAAAGCCTGCGCACGCCTCGCCTTGGGGAATGTAATGGGGGGGGGCAAGGAGAAAAAGCAGGCAGACATATGCTTGAGCACACGCTTGAACCAAAATGGCTACGGATGCGTGACTGCAATGCAAGTGTGACGCAAACGGGAATACCGAAAATGGCTGCAAGGCGACCGTGCCGATGGGTTATATGCACCAAATTGACCATTCGCTAACTTCGTGTAACAAACATTGTTGTGACGCGCCGTTGCCTCATGGGTTTTAGCCGGTGTGCACAACAACTGAGACTACCGGCGTGGTCAAACACAAGCTGACTTGAGGTGACAGTGCCACCCGTTGTTGGCATGTCGTTGTGTCAGAAATGGTTGTAACATTACAGGGCCAATGCCAATGCAAACGCGACGTTGTCAATCATGGAGAATCAACCCCTGACCATGGTGGCATATTCGGTGCATCGAAGTGACTGCACCAGAAACGGCCGCAATCTAATTGAGCCGTACGTGCTGGCAGTAGAGGTGGCTGCGCGACACGTGGCCGCAATGACGATGATCATGCTGTACTTCACGTTTTTGTGAGATGACCGTATGGATGGCCACTGTCCCGAACGGCCTTGCAAAATTCGCCGACCCTTCGGCGTGTGAGAGACGCTGGCGTCGTCGTCGTCGTCGTCGTCAGTCTCAAAGGAATTGGGGAACATTGGAAAAGAACGTCGTGACTAAATCGGTTCCTTTCCCTTTATCCCTTCCCTTCCGGGGGAGGGGGAGGGGAGAACTTGGGGGGGGGTCCGAGGTCAGAATGCCGCCCAATGGAGGGTGGTGGTGGTGGTGGTGGTGGTGGTGGTGGTGGTGGGGGGTTCCCGGGCAAGACTACCGCACCCCCCCAAGGTCCTGGCGGGTCTGGGGGGGGGGGGGTCGCCAGCGGGGGTCCTGGGGGCGGTCCCGCCTTCAGGGTCGGCGGTGCTGGCCGTAAGGCCTTCGCAGTGTTTGAGCCAGCGGGGGTTACGTCAGCTGCGCATCTAGAAAAATGCAAGACAAGTGGTTGGACACTTGGAGGAATCATGAGCCAACCGCATCAAGAAATAGGCTATGAAATGTCTTAGCACCAAAGAAATGTTGGAAGACGCCGAATCACCGACACCGAACCATACCAAGGGTACCTGCACGGATCATGGGCAGAACCCAAAGGTCACTGACAGTACGTGTCAAGGGTTGCTGTACTCGGTGTGCCCGAAATGTGACTACACCAAGGGTAATTGCTATTTTATTGTGGAATTGTACTGTGGCTTGCTGGCACACTGACTGGCCCACATGTGGTTGTAATGTGGCCGCGCTGCACATGATATGTACCCACAGGCGAATGCACTGACGCTTTACCCAGATTCGTCGCACACAGTGTGGCTTAATGTGCGTGCGCTAGGGATTATATGCTAAGTGAGCTGGCGATTTGCCTGTTAGGGTTCGCTTGCGCTCAGACGCGGATTTCATGCAGCATGACGGCGCCACTGATGAGAGCTTGATGTATGTTCGGCCGCGGTAACTGTCAGGCCGAAATGATAACTATCGATGTTGGCAGGATTGAAAGCACCACGGATGGCTGTACCAATTCTGTTCATACCAACTGGTGCCATATCAGTGGAGGCTGAGATGACAGTATCAATGGTGAATGTGCCCAACGTTGTGGAAACAGAACTGTCAGACAACTTAGTTGAGAACATGTGACCGTACGGTGCTTTGTTGTAGTTGTGCCAAAGGGCAAGGTACGACAAGCGGCTCGATGGTGCATGTCCTGGAAACTGCTGTGTCGAAGATTCGTACCAGTTGAACGCATCCGGTGTGACTGCACAAGAAGTGTAGTTCCAAATGCGCCTGCAACGAAGTCGAACACAAACGCCAATACTAATGGTGACTGCTGTGGCATTGCGCCAAGGTGGTCGCGCGACATTTTGACCAACGGCGAAATTAAATCGCACCGAAGATTGCGTAGTGGCTGTTTTGAAACGAATGAAAATGATAGTGTGGAAAACAAGCTGGCAACGGAGTACGTAAGAAACAACTCGTAATGGCGGGTGCACGGTAACCAACTGTGTTCGCGCCATGGGAGAACGTAAAGTGGTAAGAAACACATAATATACTTATATGGCTACCAACTAGCATTTGTTTGGGCCACACGTGGCTGTACCACATCTGACCGTGAGGAGACAGCGCCAAATGTGACTGCACCGCTGGTGACTGTTAGACGATTGCGCCACACCATCGACGATTGCGCGGCAAATGTGCTCACTTCGAGTGCTCCGCCCACTTGCGACTGTACACGCAGCGCAGTGACTTTACCACATGTATCAACGAACACCCACGGTGGATATTTCTAAACTGGCCCAAGAACACACAGATATAGACACACATCCCAGGATTCCCCATATTTTGTGAAATATTTTCTGGGTATTCGTCTTCCCTCCACTTCCCGTAATTGTCAACATCTTCCTGGGTGTCGACGATGAATTGTGTCTGTGTGTGTGTGTATGTTTTTCCCCCTCCTGAATTGCATTCATGGGAACGATTGCGCACACGTGCGCGCAAACGTTAGGTCGGGCGTGTCCCCCCACAGGCGGATTTGGGACGACATACAACATCTTCAAACATTATCCTGGCGAAGGACCCAACCATGTGCAGTTGTGGGTACCGCAATTGTGAATATTTTCTTCGGCGAAGCTCCCTATGGGGCCACGAAGCGCTGCACTGGGTGGGGGGGAACGCACGCGGGCGGTAGAACTGGGGCCGTCGATCGAGCTCCCTATGGGGCCAACGCCGTACTGGGTGGGGTGATAATGCAAATTCTGGTGTGTGGGACGCATGCGGGCTGTCCCACTGGTGGCTTCGGTGGAGCTCCCTATGGGGCCACGAAGCGTATGAGGGGTGTGCCAAATTTGGCTTCCAGGACGCGTGCGGACGGTCCCACTGGGGGTTTCGGTGGAGCTCCCTATGGATGGGGCCACGAAACGATGTACTGGGTGGGTAAAAATGCCACACTGGGTTTCCGAGACGCATGCGGACGGTCCCACCGGGGGCTTCGGTGGAGCTCTCTATGGGGCCACGAAACGCCGTAGTGGGTGGGGGAAATGCCAAAATTGTGCTTCCAGGACGCATGCGGACGGTTCCACTGGGGGCTTCGGTGGGGCTGTCTATGGGGCCACGAAGCGCCATACTGGGTGGGGTGACAATGCCAAATTAGGTTTCTGGGACGCATGCGGACAATCCTACTGGGGGCTTCGGTGGGGCTCTCTATGGAGCCACGAAGCGCTGTACTGGGTGCGGGGGACGCATGCGGACGGTAGCACTGGGACCTTCGGTGGGGCTCCCTAGGGGGCCACGAATAGTTGTACTGGGTGTGGGGGACGCATGCGAACGGTAGCACTGGGACCTTCGGTGGGGCTCCCTGCTGGGCCACGGAACGCTGTACTGGGTGCGGGGGACGCATGCGGACGGTAGCACTGGGACCTTCGGTGGGGCTCCATATGGAGCCACGAGAAGCTGTACTGGGCGTGGGGGGCGCATGCGGACGGTAGCACTGGGACCTTCGGTGGGGCTCCCTGCTGGGCCACGAAGCGCTGTACTGGGCGTGGGGGGCGAATGCGAACGGTAGCATTGGGACCTTCGGTGGGGCTCCCTATGGGGCCACGAAACGCTGTACTGGGTGGGGGGGACGCATGCGGACGGTAGCACTGGTACCTTCGGTGGGGCTCCCTATGGGGCCACGAAACGCTGTACTGGGTGGGGGGGACGCATGCGGACGGCAGCACCGGGACCTTCGGTGGGGCTCCCTATGGGGCCACGAAGCGCTGTACTGGGCGTGGGGGGCGCATGCGAACGGTAGCATTGGGACCTTCGGTGGGGCTTCCTATGCGGCCACGAAGCGCTGTACTGGGCGTGGGGGACGCGTGCGGACGGTAGCACTGCGACCTTCGGTGGGGCTCCCTATGGGGCCACGAATAGTTGTACTGGGTGGGGGGGACGCATGCGAACGGTAGCATTGGGACCCCGCCGATGGGGCCACGAAGCGCTGTACTGGGTGGGGGGGGGACGCATGCGGACGGTGGCACTGGGACCTTCGGTGGGGCTCCCTATGGGGCCACGAAACGCTGTACTGGGCGTGGGGGACGCATGCGGACGGTAGCACTGGGACCTTCGGTGGGGCTCCCTATGGGGCCACGACACGTGTGAGGGGTATGCTGAAACGGATGATGATGATGATGATGATGATGATGATGATGATGATGATGATGATGATGATGATGATGATGATGATGATGATGATGATGATGATGATGATGATGATGTTGATGTTGATGATGATGATGATGGTGGTGATAATGATGATAATGATGATGATGATGATGATGATGATGATGATGATGATGATGATGATGATGGTGATGGTGATGGTGATGGTGATGGTGATGGTGATGGAGGAGGGAGGAGGGGGAGGAGGAGAGGAGAGGAGGAGAACGCGGGGACCGTCTCTTCAACACGAGGACCCAACACCACAGGATGGTTGGGCAGTACCCAAACATAGTCAAACAAATACTCAACAGTTGATCCCCAAGGCTATTTTTTGATTAGTTTTGAATATTCCTCCTGTAGGAGGGACAGGCCCGACATAACACAAACGTGCACGTCCACGGACGGTCGGGATTTTTTTTTCCTAGCGTGTCGAGGCCGCGGCCCTGGCGACACGCTGCGCTCCGCAAGCGAAGCGAGCAATAGATAGCGTGCCGCTCCGCCTCGTCGGGGCGGAAGGCCGGGAGGAGCCTGGGACGCTGACGCTTTTGAGGACCGGGAAGTGGCCAGCGTGTACCGCCGAAGCGTGGTGGACCGGAACCGGCAGCGTGACACGCTGAGCCAAACTTCGCGACCGTACCTCGGGCACCCGCTCTGCTTGGCACACTCTCGAGGGCTCCTCTCGCTGGGCGCACCAGAGCTCCCGCAGTGCGGAGGCCGCGCCCGGGATGCCAGGACTCGGCGCCGGCAGGCAAGCGGGCTGCCGCTGCCCCTCAGGCGTGGCTGCCTCCGCATCGAGTGCGCCATGGGCATCGTGGCTGGCCGTCGAGGCCTCGGCCTCCTGTCGGGGTGGAGGAAGGCAGGATTCGTCAGCATCGAGTCGGGAAATCGGATCGGGCCGCAAAATGCATCGGATGGGGCTGCACCGGCAAGGAGTCGGAATCGAATCGGATCGGCCGCGCCAGGATGCACAGCAACACCCTGCAAGAATCCGGCCGCATCGGATCCTCAGAAGATCGGAATTGAACCTGATAGGGCCAGACGAAATCGATATCGAACCCCACCAGCCCTGCGGGCGTAGGTGATCTAACGATATTCTTCTTTCCTCATCTCAGACCTCTCGGCCCTTCGGGGAGGTGTGCTCTTCCCACCCACTCCCCGAGGTGTTTTGGGGGGGGGTCGCGAGTCGTCAGAGCGCCCAAGCTGGCAAGAGGGCCAGCGAGGCTCCAGGATATCCCCCAATATGGCGCAAGATAATTGAGAATGCTTCATTGTGGCTTCCGACATGCCTCCAAGAGGCTCCAAGAGGACCACGTGAAGCTCCAAGTGCTCTTGGAGATCCCTCAGGACTTCCCCAAGAGGGGCCTAAATCCTTCAAACACAACGCGAGGTTCAATAATGTTTGCCTTATCGCCCTTTCGCTTCAGATGCGGTCATGAGGCCTCAAGATGGCCCAAGAGACGCAAGGGCGCAACAGGCCCCCAAGACATCCCCAAGACGCCAAAGAGCGCCCCAATGGCACTCCAGGAGGACCCCAAGAGTAGATCTGTATGGCCCTGGAGGGGGAGGGGGAGTAACTCGGGGATCCCCCCTCTTTTGACCGACGCGCTCCAATATTGCCTCAAGAGGCCCTCCAAGACTTCCATGAGGCCCCCAAGAGGCCCCCAAATAGTCCCAAGAGGACCCCTAAGACCCTCCAACATAGCCCCACGAGGGCCGCGAGAGAGCCCCAGGAGAACCCTAAGAGGGCCTCCCGAAGACCCCAAGACGGCTGCCAGAGTTTTCGTCGTCCTCCTCCTCTTTCTCTTTCTCGTCTTCTTTCTCCTCGCCCTCATCATCCTAATCTTCCTCCTCGTCATTATGCTGGTCCTCGTCCTCCTCCTCCTCCTCCTCCTCCTCCTCCTCGTCCTTATCGTTCTCGTTCTCGTCCTCGTCCTCGTCCTAGGTCTGGTCAGTCTGCTTTGTAGTTTTTCACTGCAAACTCCAATTCGCCTGGGTATCGTCTCTGGATGGGCAGGTGGGGATACGCGAAGCATCAGTCGTGTATTGGATCGAAGTGGACCCTGGAAGTGGAGGGGTACCAGATGGAAGGTTAGCGAATAAGCTGCACGCACCTTGTCTTGCAGGCAAATAAAGGCACCAGGCAGGCCCATTTCATCAGGGAAGGTGCTGGTCAGCAGGGGTCGAAATCATCGACAAGCAGCAACCCTCCTTTTCCCCAACCCGCCCTCTTTCGGGCCGCCCGATCCTGGGAGCCGAAGGTGATGGTGGGTTCGAGGAGCTCGGACGCGAACTCCGTGGCCCTGGCGGCGACGGGCTCTGGGCTAGCAGACCTGTGCCGGAGGGTCGCCAGGCCCACGATTCAGGATGGTCTTGGCTGACACATTGATTCAATCCATGAAAACTAAGAGACGAATCACTACTTCCCACCAACTTCTACAGCAAATTCGTGTCGTGACGCGCTGGTTCCTGACACCTCGTGGACTTTTCAACCTTGAACGAGCGCGTCTCCCAGAAAGCGCACTGTCGTTCCATAGGGGGCCACTTCTGTGCCACTGGCGGCGCTCAACCTTGAACGCCCGCGTCGCAGCCGCCGCGCGAACACGGCACGAACCTGCCGCATACGCCGCGTCACGCACATGAACACGGCACCCCCGTCCGTGAGGCCAGCCTCGTGTCACGAACATTCGCGCAGTGCGCACGCGCAGAACCAACGTGGATTCATGTAGGCGTACGTCCTCCTTCCGCTCCAGACTTAGCCTTACGACAAGGCGACCCTCGGGAGAGCCACGGAGGCGCCGCCAGGTCCAGAAGCCGCGTCGACGCCTCCGCGGCCGCCCGCACGTCGGCGCGGACGCGCCCGTCGCGCAGCCGCCGAGCGAGCTGCTCGTGGCGCTGGGCGCGCACGTCCTCGAGCGTTCCCCCGGGCAGGGGCCTGCCTTGGGCAGCCTGCAGCCGCCGCCGCAGCGCGTCGAGCGCCTCTCGCGACGCCTCGGGACGTCCCTGCCGCGGCCCCTCCGCGGCGGCGGCATCCTCCCGCAGCTGGCGCTCGCAGAGGGCCTCCTCCTCGGCCTGCGGGCAGACGCGCTCCCAACCAGCCCTGGGGAGACCGGGCCTGCCCTCGATTTCTGATGTCCCGACCTACTTTAGCCTTGATCGCAAGAGCGAATGTCGAGCATCAGGGAAGTACCACAACTTTTCGGTCTTCTCGTTCCTGGCCCTTCGCTAGCATGTCGGGCAGACACCGTTTCGATACTCTTCTGGGTGCCCGAAAGTATTTCCGTACTGTGGTCATCAAGTACGATGGGAACAACAGAACCCTCGATTCGCTGCCGGGGGGGCTGTCGCTATTGAGCCCGGCGGGTTCCCCAAGGAGGTCAGGAGCACGACCTGGCCCCGAGGCCGTGCACGGCGACAGCGGAACCGAAGACCGGCCGAGCCCACAGCGAAACCGGGACCGACTCCAAACCGACAGCCCGCAGGCAGCCCGGAAGGACCTGGCGGCACAGCAGCCGACCGAGCCGAACCGACCGAGTGTGCAGCCGACCGAGAGGCAGCCGAACCGATCCGACCGCGGACGTAGGGGAGCGAACAATGACAGAAAGATACAAACTCGAAGGTCCGCGCGGATTTCTCGGATCGGCGCTAGGCCCCCCTGGCGGCGGCTCCGGCGCCGCCCCTGTCGCGCCCCGCGCGCCAGGGAAGGGGGGTCCAGGCGCCGATCCGAGAAATCCGCGTGGACCTCCGAGCTTCTACGTTCATGCCACCGTTTGCTTCCCTGGGACACCCTCGGGCCCTGTCGCGGCGGGACGGCCTCCGCCACCGCGCGGCACGCAGCCCGCCACTCTGCGGCGGCGCCGTCGGCAGCGGCGCGCTCGCTCTCGCGGGCCTCCTGGGCCAGCGCGCGCTGCGCGCACGCCTCCTCCTGGGCCTCCGCGAGCTGTGCCAGCAGGGCGGCCTGCTCCAGCCTCGCCTTGCCGCGCACGTCGTGGAGGTGCTGGCGCAGCTCGTGGCCCTCCCCCAGCCGCTGCGCCAGCTCGTCCCGCTCCTCCGGGGACTCCGCGCCAGGGGAAGCAAGGGGGGAAGCACATGCTCCATCTCAGCGTGTGTCCCTTTGTGCCGGATGGTTCCGGGAGCTCCACCGCGAGAGGTGATCCAACTGCACTTTTTACTTCGCACCGCTCCTCTCGAAAGAACGGTGTCCTGCGTGGATTTCGTGCCGCCTTGCTCCAGGGGTGTCGCTGGGGAAACACAACCGCCTGCAGCAAACACAATCGAGTTTCATTATTTCAACTGCCACGCAATGGAACCGAAAGGCCGATGGTCCTCTGGCCCCGCCCCTTGTCTCCACTTCGGCTCCTCACACGACGTGGCCGCCGCTCTCTGCGCTTGGTCCAGCCTCTGCCCCAGTGCCGCGTTCCTGCGCGCCTCCTCCTCCGCCTCGGCGAGCTGCGACAGCAGCTGGTCCTTCTCCGTGGCCGCCTCCAGCGCCTGCCGCCTCATGGCCTCCCGCTGCTCGCGGCCTTCGCCCCGCGCCGCCTGCAGCTGCTCCTCGAGGGTGGCCACGCGCTCGGCCAGCGGACCCGCCCCGGCCGCCTCGTCGGAGGGGCTCGGCGAGCGCGCCTGGGCTGCGTGCACCGCCTCCTCCGACAGGCGGAGCTCCGCGGCCCGCGCGCGCTCCAGCGCACGCTCGGACTCGTGCAGCCGCCCCAGCCTGCGCTCGGACTCGCGGAACTCCTCCTGGATCTGCGACCGCAGCGACGCCACGGTCTCCTCTCGGGGCAGTCCGCAGGGAGGGGGCGGACAGGTGGGGGCCAGCTTTCAAAGCGGGTGTGGCTGGAAAAGGCTCCACAGCAGAAAGCCAGGGGCCATACACGGGCGTCGCTTTTCCCCAGGCAGTGCTTGCGCTTAGGGGGTTCTGCTTCGGTGGGGATCCCGGGCTTTCGCCACGCTGGCGCCTCGTGCCCGCTCGTGGGCGCCTCGTGGGGGCGACCTGCCCGGGTGGGTATCCTGGGGCCTCGCCGCGCTGCCGCCCGTGCCCGATCCCGGGTGCCCCGTCCAGGCGGGTATGCTGAGGTTTCGCCGCGTTGGCCCCCCGTGCCCGCTCTTGGGGCGCCTCGCGGGAACCCAGTGCACCCACGGCACAGGTTTACACCGCCGAGCTCCCACCGCACAGCTCGCACGACGTACCTTACACAGCCTTGGTTGCACGGCGTGGCTTGCACAGCAGAGCTTGCACCACATTGCTCACGCCGCACAGCTTACATCGCATAGCTTCAACAGCACAGCTGACACAGCATAGTTTGCACCTTATAGCTCACACAACATGTCTGACACGACATAGCTTACACCACACACCACGTACCCTACACCGCATAGCTCACACAACCTATACTACTCAGCACGGTTGACATGACATAGCTTACACCGCATCACTTCCACGATACACCTCACGCATCATTGCTGACACCACATCGTTCGCAACTGCATAGCTTAAACATCGTAGCTAACACTACGTAGCTTGCACAGCTTAGCTTACGCAGTATGTCTCACACCGCACAGCTTACGCCGCATGGCTCACACCACAGTGTGTACACGAACTAGCTTGCACAGAACAGCTTACACCACGTGGCTCACACTGCATAGCTTACACCGCATATACTCCACCTCCAGAATGCCTCATCTCACTGTTTAGGGTCTACGCTGGCCAACATACAACTGCTGTCAAGGTGAAACTGGTGATCCTCCTCCTGCCTTCTGCCCCCCCCCGGTTCACTTCTCTCCTGTTCTTCAGAAGACGTGGCCGCCGCTCTCTGCGCCTGGTCCAGCCTCTGCCCCAGTGCCGCGTTCCTGCGCGCCTCCTCCTCCGCCTCGGCGAGCTGCGACAGCAGCTGGTCCTTCTCCGTGGCCGCCTCCAGCGCCTGCCGCCTCATGGCCTCCCGCTGCTCGCGGCCTTCGCCCCGCGCCGCCTGCAGCTGCTCCTCGAGGGTGGCCACGCGCTCGGCCAGTGGACCCGCCCCGGCCGCCTCGTCGGAGGGGCTCGGCGAGCGCGCCTGGGCCGCGTGCACCGCCTCCTCCGACAGGCGGAGCTCCGTGGCCCGCGCGCGCTCCAGCGCACGCTCGGACTCGTGCAGCCGCCCCAGCCTGCGCTCGGACTCGCAGAACTCCTCCTGGAGCTGCGACCGCAGCGACGCCACGGTCTCCTCGCGGGGCAGTCCGCAGGGAGGGGGCGGACCAGGTGGGGGGGCCAGCTTCACACAGGTAGACGCTAACGACCAGTGGCATTGTCTGGCTGCACCCAAGTCTCCCTGGCGCCAGATTATTCGAATGACCCTCGCGGGGGATTCCTGGTTTCCACTGGCTCCTCGCGTTGCTTTGCTATGCACATTATAGCATTCCATTGCTTTGCAGTGCTTGGCGGTGAGTTGCAATGCGTTGTAAATGTAACACGTTGTACTCGCATTGCAATGCAGCTGATGTGAAGCTTGGAGCAAATAGTCCAATGCAAAACCATGGCGTGCACTTGCAACCCAATGCCTTGATATGCAGCTGCAAAGCAATGCGCAGCGAGTTCAATGTGCAACATTGCACTGCGCCGCAAGGCAATGCCACGCGACAAACTGAATGTCATTTCAACGCCAATTAATTCCGTGCCACAGTTCACTGCGTTGCATGACGCTGCATAGCATAGCAAGTCATCACACAACGAAGCAACATTTTTCTATACCTAACCCCAATTAGGTCCTGTCTTAGCGCAAACACACTTTCACAATAGATAAAGGAATGCAGATAGCTGTAACTGGTGACATCTCTCTCTCTCTCTCTGGTCATACCGTGTGACAAATTATCGTGTGGCAGCCCAACTATCTCTTCGCTTGCCATCAATCAACGTTGAGCAAGAATCCTAATCGGGCTCGAGCCCGGTTCGTTTGGCTCGGTGTTGCCGGACGCTCGCGCTGCGCACAGCAGGAAGACACAACCAGGTGCTGCTTCCAGCTTCGGTGAGCTGACACGCCGACCCCTGCCTGCCCTGTTCCTTCGGGGGAGGGCCCCTCGATACCGCGGCGGCTCTCCCGCCTGGCCCCACCTCCGCTCGAAACCGGTCCCCAACACGCCTCCCCGGGACCATCCCGACTCGTCCTCGAGGCGGATCCGGCCGTGGCGACGAGAAGCCCCCCGGAGGCCCCAGGACCACGAACAGCTCCAGGGACAGCCCCCGTTTGCCTCGACCGGCCCTCCCCCGAATGACCCAGACCTCTGGCTGCTCCGATTTCTTCGACGCGTGGGCCCTGGAGGTCTGGACCACTTCCCCAGGGCCAATTTTTCACCCTGAACCGTGTTTTTCACGGTCCCGAGGCCCGGCGAGGACCCCCGGAGGCCGAAAATTGGCCCCAACCCGCCGCTCCCATGTTTTCGGAGCGTCGGGTCTCTGGGGGTACTCCTTTCGCCACCCTCCCTCTCCTCGAGCCCGTCCCGCTGGAGCTCGATAGTCCTGTGGCTCCTCTCGCAGATTGCCGCGGTCTCCTCGGCGCTCCTCTCGGCGCACTCGGCGTCGGCCAAGCGCCTCAGCAGGACGTCGACGATTAGCCCGCTTTGCGCAGCCGGGCTGCCCGTGCCGGTGTCTTGCCCCATCTGAGAGGGAGAGGGAGAGAGGGAGAGAGGGAGAGAGGGAGAGAGGGAGAGTTCGGAACAACGAGCGGCATAACAAACATTATCCGCGCGTAGCTCCGAGAATTAATGTTGATGCCCGTTGTTGCTTTGCGAAGAGTGAGAGGGAGAGTGATCAAAGCCAGCACCATTGGCGACCATTTCTAACTACCCTTTCCTCCATATGGTGACCCTTTCCTCCTCATATCCCTCCACGTCCTCGCCGGTGACTCGTATACCAAACGAGCATGCTGTCCGAAGGTAAGGGTCCCCGAGGGGAAGCCGCCTCCCTTCCCGTCCCCGTGCTAAGAGGCTGGAACACGCATGGGCGACGATCAAAAAGGTCTTGCGCGAGGTGACGTAGCGACCTTACGCGATGGCTCACGCGGGCCGCCGGCGCGGCGCGCCACATTTGAAGCGAGGGCGCTCACGCGCCACCCTACGTGGGCAACTTGCGCGCCAATGTCGGCGCAGACGACCCCGTTTTCCTGCATCGCTCACATGTTTGGAACCACGCGTGGAACATCCGGAGGCCGCGCGCGGGATGCACGTGCGGAGGAGCAGTTTGCCTGGCCACAGAAGGGCCAAACGCTGGGACGATACCTGCCCGCACGTGCATCTGGCCCTCGCCCAGACCAGCAGGCACCCACCCGCCTGGCAGTGCACCAGGCACGCCGGGTAAGAACCTGGCCTGCCAGCGGGTGCCCCTACGGGAATATCCCCTGCGTCTCGATGGGCCCGCAGAGCCCCGGGGGCACCTCGCGGGACCGAGAGCCGACGAAGAGGGATGTGCCCACGGATTTCTCCCCGCAGAGTTTCTTATCGTGCGCCTGCCGTAGACCCGTAGGTCACCCCAAGCGTCGCACGTGGCGCCCCGCGATGCGCCGTTATCTTCGCGCCCTCGCGAGGCCATCCTGGAGAAGGGCAGCCCTCTGGCCCAGGCCGCGGCGCGCGCAGCGCGATTATCTTCGCGCCCCTGTGGGTGACCTGCTGATGCCACCGCTGGGGTTCTCAGGTGGAGCGGGAGGTCAGGGGTGGACGTGAAGGTGCGGTATATCTGCCCAAATCTAGCTTCTGCATGGGGTGCAAAAGGCCCTGATTGTTTTCTGAAGGTGGGGTGCAGATCTGGTCTAAGTGGGCGGAGCCCACTTCGCGGAGTTATCTTATCACCCCAACCTGCTCAGGGCACTTGTAATCCACTTGTAAGCTGGGCCAGGCCAGATCTGACCCACCTTAGCCTCCACTTCTGACCTTGACGACCACAACAATGATCTCAGTAGCATGGCTGCCCCGATACGCAGTACGCAACACGCAGCGCGTTGACACGGAGCTCAACACGTCGACCGAAAGCGTAGGTCTGCCTTGATCCGATCGCCAAAACGCGGGCCAACACGTGCCGAGCCAACACGCCGCGTTTTGACACGGACGTTCTGAACACGGCACGCGCTGCGTTTCAGCACGGGCCTGCCAGGTCAGCCAAGGGCCAGAAATATCCCACCTGAGCATCCAATTCTCGTGGTGACTTTTACCGGCGGCCCCAGAGAGGGTTCGCACGCCGCGGTTCCCCGCCCATGTCGGCACACCCCTCAGGCGGGCCGTGCCCCACGGCGAACTCCACCTACCACTCACAGCTTTAGAGATATGACGCTCGCCTGCCGCCCCCCTGCCCACGCCGACACACCCCGCACACGGATGGCGGTCCCACAGGGAGTTCCATGGGACGCGCAGAGACATACCAATACTATATGTGCTCCTTGCAGGCGCGCGTCCGACCCGAACATGTAGTATACCCACCTTGTTGTATATCGTTTCCCGAGCGGTGTGGCCACAAAGCGCCCATCACGACGCATATACTAGAAGATTTCTCGTTGCGCGCGTCGCCCCTGGGGGGGGGGGGGGGCGACGCACACATAGCACTAGCATGATGGGGCGACGCCGATCCCAATCGTTCTTTAAACCTCCCTCTCCGCTGAAACAGCCCCAGCGGTGACCACAGTAGAGATCCTCTGACCCGGGTCAATCCAGACCCGGGTCAGCAGGAAACCAAAAACTGCAATGCAGGAAGAAAAAACTGCAACGCAGGTCCTCGCAAACCCGGGTCAGCCAATACGCGCGGTCGCCTCGCGGCCACGAGCGGCTCCCAAACCCGGGTCAGCCAGAGGGGGCCTTCGCAGGATCCTGCAGGATCCGGCGCCCTGGCTGACCCCCGTCTGCGTTGACCCCCGTCTCGAGGCTCCCGATGCCACAGTAGAGATCCCCGCGTCCGGCAGGCGGAGCACAGCCCCCCCCGCCTCCGCGCGCGCCGCGGCCCTGCACGAGCCCCTGGCACTCTTGGGAGCTTATTGAGCCGTCTTGGAACGTCGGACAGCCGAAAAGGCTGGAAGGCCAAAATGGTTCGAAAACCTTTGTGTAATTGACGATTTCGCCCTCTGGAAGCGCTCTGCAGAGGCGTCTTGACGCGTCGTGGAGTGCCTGGCACGGCCGCCTGCGGCCGCCCCCGTCTAGCCATCGACGGAGCCCAGAGATCCGACGCTGCGAAAAAACACACACCTTCTCTAGAATCGCGAAACTTTTCGTATTGTTCGAGTCATCTTGAGAAGTGCTCTCGGTTTTCTGCACTCAACTCGGGCTGGGGGGGCGATTTGAAAGGAATCGATTTGAAGACATCAGGCGCGTCCGCCTGTCGAATCCAGAGCTCGGAACTCGGTCTGCTGCCCGAACTAGGTCCGCGAAGACTCACCACCAGAGCCCTGCACCCCATCTTGGCGGCGCGCACACGGGGGCTCGGGGGAGGAGGGAAGCCTTCTTGGACGCAGGCCGCTTCTCAGAAGGAGGCGGCGGCCTTACATCTACAGGCCTTCTGAGCAGCAAGGGTGCTTCTGAGAAGCCTTGCCCCCTCCCCCTACCCCCTTGCGCGCGTGGCCGACCATCCTTCGCGAGCCGTAGCCCGGCCGTCTGCGGCCGCCCCCGGAGACACCGGCGGGCCCTAAGCCCAAGATCCGACGTCGCGAGAGAAATGCCGCATCGCGACCAGTCACGGCCGACGCCCCGGGCCCCATCTTCCTGCGCCGACCTTCGCGCCGGAGCCGGATCGATCTGGAAGGGCCCCCGAGCCCGACACCCGAGGAAAAAGACCGCCCGTTGCGAAGGCACTGCTGCGCCAGGGTTCATGGGAGCCCTCATGCAAGCCCGCCGCCGCCGCCGTCTTCCCAGACCCCCGACGTCGTGATTCTTGCGCCACGCCGAGCTCTCGGGTCTGGACACCTTCCGCGGGACCGGTGTTTCGTCCTGAGCAATATTTGGACGGCCCCGAGGCCCGGCAAGGCCCCCCAGAGGCCGAACATGACGAAGCACCTCCCGCCGTGATTCTTGTCACAACGCGAGGGGGTCCGGCAAACCCGCCGCCGCCACCGCCTTTGCAGCCTCCCGGCCACCGCCGATGGCTTCGCCGATGGCCCCGCCGGGGCGGCGCCGCGGCGCCCGCTGGGGCAGCCCGTGCCGGGCCCCGGCCCACCGCCGCCGCCGCCTCGAGGGGCCCCGCGGGCGGGGAGCCCATGGAGGGGCTGTTGCCAGGAGTGCCCCTTGCCATCGCTCGGACGTCCATTCCTCGTGTATTTTTCGATTTCGTGCGTGCTTTTTCCGCTAAGTCATCCAGGATGCTCCTCCATGGTCCTCGCCGAGGAGAAAATGCACACGTCCGAGCGATGCCAAGGCCCCTGGCCCGAGGTGCTGCCCCCAGGATCTCCGGGGAGGCCCCCACGGCCTCCAGAAAACCTCGCAGAAGAGAACACGCCACAAACATATACACTTTTGGCGCTCCGCGCGGATTTCCCGGATGTGCACTGGACCCCCCTCCCTGGCGCGCGGAGCGCGCCAGGGGCGACGCCAGAGGCGCCGCCCGGGAGGCCCAGCGCGGATTCAAGAACTCCGCGCGGAGCGCCAACAGTTTATGTTCATGTTTTTTTTTTTCCTACTTCGAGAACCCGGCACGAGGCCTCGAGGACCCCAGGGGCTCCAGAATGGAGCGAAAAGCTAGGGGCACCTTGGGCCAGGGGCACTTTCAACAACCCCCGAACCTGAAGAGCCAGGACTCCACAGCTCATTGGCTACCGGATTTTGTCGGTCGCGGTCGGTAGCGACCGTTCGGCACTCTAAGGTGGTCGCGACCGATCGCGACCGATATCCGAATCGGTCGCGCAGATGTATGCAGATGGGTCGAGATCGATACGGGGGGGTGAAGCAAGATCGGTAGCGACCGATCTCGTCGGCCGTGAACAGAAAATGCTGGCATCCAGTGATCAGGAGGCGAGGACTCCTGGAGAAGCCAGGGCCTGGCGCGCCCCAAAAGGAGCAAGCGGCCGTGGGCACCAAAAACAGAGCTCCTCCGCCGTCCTCGCTCTCTCTTTCTGGCCGATCTGTCCTCGGAGCCCTGGTTGCTGCAGTGCCCGTGAGGGGCAACGTTCGGGGGGAGACCGGCCCACAGGGGGGGAACATCGGCGCCTGGAACCTGCCGACGGGTCGGACGGCAGGCCCCCGAGATAGCGAACCCGCACGCTCCCTGGGCGGGGCGGGCGGTCGGCTCCCCGTCGGGGGTCGGCGCATCCCCCCTGGGCCTACACCCTGCGAAATGCTCAAGAAATCATGGGTTAAGAAATTCACAGTCTCAGAAATTGAATAAAACCCAGAACTTCTATCAAAATCTTGGGGTTTACATTGGAAAATTAAGAATAACCGAGACTCTGGACGAAAACTCAGGTTTTCTTAAGCATCGCCTGAGGTGTATCCCCGGACGGTGCCCCACGGTGTTCGGGCCAGAGCTCGGCCCCCTGGCGGCCGATCGGAGCGACTCTGGCACCCATGGGAAAGTTCTGTTAGGGAGCCCACAAAGGACGTACGCGCCCAGCTATGTACATGAACACGGCCCCTCGATCCGCGAGACCGGCCGCGTTATACGAACATTTGCGCAATGCGTACTCTCGAAACCAGCGTGGATTCATGTACGTGTACGTCCTTTTGTCGCTCCTGATCTGTGCGGGGCGCAGCTGCTTGAGAGCACCCCGAGGCCGGAAAGCCGCTGAGACAGTGGACGTGACACATCTTGACACTGTGTCGGACACCGCCTGCACAGCAAGTTGATTACTTGGACGGGGAGGAGATTTCGGAGCTCACTTCTCCGACAGCGGCAGCTTATTCTCCTTCTTCTTCCTCTTCCACAGGCCCACGGGCACGGTCGTGAGGGCGGTGATGTGCTTCGAGGTTGCACTCCAGAGTAGGGTTGCTTTTTCATGAACACGAGCCCCCCCCCTCGAACCTCAAAACTTCGTCTACCCTTCGGTCGGGCATGTCCTCCTACAGGCGGATTTTGGACGATAAATAAAACATAGTAAAAACAAAACATAGTAAAAACAACAACTGTAAAGTACTAACACAGTGTCGGAAACTCGCCCCATGTCGTTTTGTTTTGACAATTCTTGGATATTCCTCCTGTAGAGGGACACGCCCGACGTAAAGTCTGCCCCGCATCCCCCCCGAACGCTGCCCCTGCGCCCTCGCTTCACGGGCCCCGACCGCCGGCCGCGGGCGCCGCTCTCGCCGCTGGCTCCGTTGCGGCGGCCGCCTCCTGTGAAGGCGCCCAAGGACACACAGATAACTCGACACGAATCCCGGGAATCCTTCCATTTTCCCATACTTTCTGGCCTTTCGTCTTCCCCCTCACTTCCCACGTGTTCCCAGATCTTTCTGGGAATCGACGTTGAATTGTGTCTCTGTGTGTGTTTCCCCCCTCCTGACCCTATAGCGTAGGGGGAAACGAATCCTAAGGGAAACGGGTCCTGGACCCCGGGACCCCACCCGGGATGAGATCTCCATCCCGAGCCACTTCCTGACAGTCCCGGGGCCCGCGGAGGGCCCCCCGGGAAGCCAACAACGGCGAAACACCCGAGGACCCGGTTCCTTAGGTCGGGCATGTTCTCCTGCAGGCGGATTTTGGAAGAAAATGAGACATCGTCAAAAATAACCAGAACTAGTCCAACCAAACACGACACATCGTCATCAGACCATTTTGTACTATTCCTGACACTTCCTCCTGTAGAGGCACATGCCCGACCCAACCGTTCCCCTCAGGACCGGTTTCTAGAGGCCTTCTAGCTGGGGTCCGAGTAGATGGGGTCGAAGGATCGCGCCGCATCGCCAAGGCATCGCCGATGCATCGGCGACGTCTGCGATGCATCGGCACCATCGCCATGGAGAAACTCTGGCTCCACATGGAGCCACATCGTCAATGCATCGGCGGTGCGGCGCTATCCACCGACCCCGGCTCCCCCCACGGCGAGCCTCGCCCGCGCCTGGGCCGCTGATCGGCCCGGGCCCTCGCCCGGCCGCGCCGCCACCGCGCGCGGGCTCCGCCGCCGCCGCGAGCCCGGCGCCGAGCTGGGCGCTCGGCGCTGGAGGCTCGTCCTCGCCGCGCGCGGCCTCCGCCGAGCTGTCCCGGCCCGAGCTGTCCGAGCCGAGCCCGGTGTTCCTCGGGTGGGTGGTGCTGGGGGGCGACCTGAAGAGGGGGCGAACCCCTTTGTCACCGGCGCTCCGCGAGGGCGGAGGGGGCTGGTGTGGAGGGAGGGCCAGCCCATGAATGGGGCGGTGCCTCCCCACTCTGGAGCCAGTTTGTCCCAGCGGTGTGGCTCGCGAGGTTGCCCCGGCGCCCTCTCGATCTGGCCATCGGCAGAGATCCGACGCTGCGAAAAAATTGGAGCGGCCAGTGCTGGGCCTCGGGACCGTCAAAAATCATCCAGGACGACAAACTGGCCCTATAGGGAGGTGGTCAGGGCCTTCGGGGACCAAGCGTCGAAACCATCGGGGCGAAGTCAAAAGATGTTTCAAAATAATGAAAATTATTTTGTTCAAAAAAACATGATTCCCAGACTATATTTTTCTACTTTTGAATATTCCTCCTGTGCAGGCCCAGCCCTTGGCCCTCTTCAGTGCCGTCACTGCGCCCCGCGTGTGGGTCACCCCCCCCCCAAAATGCCGCCCGCCCGAGCTCCGCGTCAGCGGCCCTGCCCCAGCGCTCGGCGCTGGTGGTCCAGCCCTCTTGCCTGGAGGAGGATCAAGAGGGCACGAGCGCAAGCAGCGGGAGCTCCGCGCGGATCTCTCGGATCGGCGCTGGACCCTCTCCACGGCGCGCTGAGCGCGCCGAGAGCGGCGCCGGAGGCGCCGCCAGGGGGGGGGGGAGGGGGGCAGCGCCGATCCGAGAAAACCGCGCGGCGCTCCGACAGTTCGTGTTCATGCCAAGTCGTTTCTCTTCTTAGCTTCTTACCATCTGGCAGGGGAAGATCAGCAGAATCCTGGTCGGAGCTGGCGTCCCTGAGCCCGGCCGCCTTCCACGTGTGGGCGCCACTCTCGCCAGGCGACGGCTTCGGCGCCTCCTGGTCCGAGCTGTCGGACCCGAGGCTGGCGTTCCGTGCTGGCGACCACTCTTTGCCTCGACCGCCTCCAGGCCTGGCTTGCTCAATCGCCTCTTGGTCGGAGCTGGCGTCGCTGAGCCCAGCCTTCAAGTCTGCGGGGGCGCTGGCTTCACCACCTGTGGGCCTCGTCGCTTCCTGGTCCAACATGTCGGAAGTGAGCTCGGCGTTCCGCGCCGGCGACTCGCCGTTGCCTTGGGCAAGACCAGGCCTGGCCCGCTCAACCGCCTCTTGGTCGGAGCTGGCGTCGCTGAGCCCCGCGCTCCCCGTGGGCATGCCGGCCTCGCCGCGCGTGGGCCTCGACGCCTCCTGGCCCGAGCTGTCAGCGCCGAGCCCGGTGTTCCGTGCCGGCGGCCCGGCCTTGGCCCGGCCGCCGTCGGGCAGGGGAAGATCGTCCACCTCCTCGTCGGAGCTGCTGGCGTCGCGGAGCCCAGCCTCCAAGCCTGCGGGGG